TCTTTCCTCCTTCTTATTCAGAGGACCTTGACCTTTGACCTTTGACCTTTTGAACACAATAAACCCTTTAGTAAGCTAAGATTTCTGTAATGTATATTCTTTATATACATCAACATTCTTTACTTTCCTCCGCCCCCCCCCCCCTTTTTTCCCCTGCGCAATGGCAACGTAGATTTTTTATTTAAAATCCAAATCAGGCGTCGTACTAACCTAAAATTTCAGGATACTTTACAAAACACCCCATAAAAACTTTCTGGAAAGTTTAAAGGTCATTGTCTCATTTACCCAGAAGATATAATCTTTATCGGCAAGAACAAGAAATTCAGAAGTGCCTAAAATTTCTTTACTGATGATCGGAGAAACAAGTTAAACATTTTATCTAGAATTTCTTCAAATATCTTTGATGTCATTTGTTTCTTCTGTTATGATTAGTTATTTTCCTCTCAGATATTTATCTTCTATTTCAAACATCAAATTTATTTTAATTTTATTTAGAATTAATTCATCTTGTAAAATATGCTTTTTGTGATCATGAAACGAAATTCATGTGGTTTTTTTTTCCTATACCTTCTAACTTTACATGATTTGACTTTAATTTATGAAAGTCCGTCTACCAAACACTTCAGGATCCACCCCCGTATTTTAGTTCTACGAATTTCAGGTGGCAGCGCATTTAGTTTCGTACTAAAGTCCCGGTCAAATATCTTAAAACACTGAGATCTCTTATGTTTGATGTGATATTCGATGTAGCAAAATGAAAGGAACCATTATGGGATACATGGCGAGTCTAGCAGAGTGCTTGTTGAAAAAGTATAGCTACGCAGCCAACGGGACCAAACCTTACTTTCGCTTTCTACGCTCGCCAACCGTGCAAAGAACGATAACTGTAATTACGCGATGAAATCAAGAGAACTGTAAAAGTACTGTTTTTTCAGGCCTCTGAAACTCCTATAAAGGGTCAAAAAGTGACCCCACGGACCATAATTTTTAAAATGTATTCTTCGTGCTTAACTCAAATCCGAAAACTGTTTACAGATCTGTTGCGAAATAAAAAAAGTTACAGGGAAAAGCTGTTTTGTTGTACTGGCCCCTAAAAATCCCTTATTTTGTGGAATTTTGTTTTCATCTCCTAATCACCTGAAGACAGTGTAAAAGTAAGTATTCCACTTAAATATGACAAGAATTGCTTGCTTCCTTTCTGAAATAATGGAACATGCGTGATTTCAATTTAACATAGAAACTCTCATAGACAATTTTTGGGGACTCATAAAACCGAAAGTTCTGCTTGGATGGACTTGAAACTTATAGTACAGGTTCTATTAATCACTTTTAACAATATGTAGTCTTTAAAATATTTTTCCTATATGGTTTTGAAATTTTAAAATTTCCATCCCCCCTTTTTCTTAACTTTGGAGTCTTACAACACAAAAATGTATCATAGGTACAACAACGCTGTCGCTAACTTTTTTGTAGGATTTCCTTTGAAGAATCTATTCCTAAAATTTAAATGAATTTCCATATCAAATAAGAATTGTTTAAGCTCCTAAAGAAATCTGAGTTTTCTACTTGTAAATACCGGAAGTGAAGTTTCCGGAAGTACAAAACCTTACATACGGGAGAGATTCAGATAAGCTGTCTAACGGTTTTATTATAAAATACATATAACCAAAGGTTTTCTTTAGATCCGAAACGTAAAAGTGTTAGGTATAATAATAATAATAACTAGACCTTTTTTGTCGTTCAACAAAAACGGAGGGCTTTTCGACGCTTAAAATCACAAGGACCTTAAAGAGCGATAGCTCTAATGAAATAAAAAACATTTAAAAAAATAATCAAACCAGATCAAGTCTTCAGGAGCTTATTAAAATGGAAACCTAAAGGGTATTAAATTCTCAATAGAGCTCTGCAAAGGGGGGTAACTCTTACAATGTTATTTTGAAAATTACTAAAAGTTACTATATTTCAGGTCTCTAAAACACCTATAAGGGGTCAAAAAGTGACCCCACGGACCATAATTTTTAAACTGTACCCTTTATGCTGAACTCAGAATCGGAAATTGTTCAAAAATTCATTTACAAATAAAAAAGTTACATGGGAAAATCAGTTTTCAATATTAGCCCTTTGAAATCCCGTATTTTGCAGAATTTCAATTTCAGACCCTAAAGGGGTTGAAACACTATCAAAGTCATTATATTACTCAATTTTCACAAGAATATCTTATTTAGTTTAGGAGATATCGTGACATGTGCATTTTTCCATTTAACATGGGAACTCTCATAGACAAATTCAGAGATTCATAAAACCGGAAGTTCTTGTCATATGCATACCAAACTTGAAACCTAAAGAGTATGTAAGCCCGCCAACAGATGTCCAAAGGGAGATAACTCTTACTTCATCATTTTTGAAATAAATAAAAATTACATTATTTCAGTCCTCTGTAGCTCCTATAAGGGATCAAAAATTGACCCCACGGACCATTATTTTCAGATTGTGCTCCTTAAGCTAAACCCAGAGTAGGAAACTGTTTCAGAATTCATTAAGAATTAAAAAAGTTATGGGGAAAGGTCAGTTTTCAATTTTGGCCCCTAGAAATCCCTTATTTTCCAGAAATTCATTTTCAAATCCTAATGGGGTTGAAAAAATATCACAATCATTATAACACTTAATTTTCACAAGAATATATTGATTACATTAAGAGATATCATGAAATGTGCAATTCTCCATTTAACGTGAGAACTCCCATAGACAAATTTAGAGATTCATAAAACCGGAAGTACTTGTCATATGCATACCAAACTTGAATCCTAAAGAGTATGTAAGCCTGTTAACTGATGTTCAAAGGGAGATAACTCTTACTCCATTATTTTTTAAATAAATAAAAATTTCATTATTTCAGTCCTCTATAACTCCTATAAGGGGTCAAAAAGTGACCCCACGGACCATTATTTTAAGATTGAACTCTTTATGCTTAACTCAAATCTGAAAACTGTTTAAAAATTTATTGAGAAATGAAAAAGTTACGGACAAAGGTCTGTTTTCAATGTTGGCCCCTTGAAATCCCTTATTTTCCCGAATTTCATTTTTAAAATATTTTCAGGTCGGAACAGTATCAAAGTCATTCTGTACTTAAAATTTCATCAGAATATCTTGATTATTTTAAGAGAAAACGTGACATGCGTGATTTCAATTTAACATTGAAACTCCCATAGACAATTTTCAAAGACCCCTAAAACCGGAAGTTCCGCTCGGATTGACATGAATCTTACAGTGTATCTTCTACTCATCAGTCTCAACATACTTCTATGGTCAGAATTATTTTGCTGTCGTTAATTATGACTTTATAAAATTCATCCCCCCTTTTTCAATGTTTCAAGTCGTATATTTCAAAAAGTATCAATGGTCAAAAATCACCGTCGCTAACTTTTTTGTAGATATTGGTTTCAAGAATTTATATCTTTAAATTGGGAGGCATGGGTATCAAAATGAACAAATTATTACCTTTCTTAGAAATTTCTGTTTTTTCTTGGTGGAAACCGGAAGTGACGTAATCTGATTTCCAAAACCTTACATACGGGAGATATTTTCATGTTTTATAAGACAGTTATAATATAAAATGTATATATCTAAAGGTTCTCCTTAAATCTAAGACGAAAAAGTGTTCAGAATAATAATAATAACTAGACCTTTTTTGTCGTTCAACAAAAACGGAGGGCTTTTCGACGCTTTAAATCTCAAGGACCTTAAAGAGCGATAACTCTCACAAAATGTAAAACATAAAAAAAGAAATCAGACCGAATCAAGTTTTCAGAGGCTTATAAAAATTGAAACCTTAAAAGTATGTAATTCTCACTAGAACTCTGCAAGGGGGGGGGGGGGTAACTCTTACATTGTTATTTTTGAAATTACTAAAAGTTACTATATGTCAACTCCCTAAATCACCTATAAGGGGTCAAAAAGTGACCCACGGACCATAATTTTGAAATTGTGCCTTTTTTGCTGAACTCAGGATCGAAAACTGTTCAAAAATTCATTGCGAAATAAAAAAGTTACATGGGAAAATCATTTTTCAAAATTAGCCCTTGAAATACCTCATTTTTCCAAATTTCATTTTCAGACCCTAATAGGGTTGAAACAATATTAAAGTCATTGTATCACTTGATTTTCACAAGAATATCTTATTTAGTTTAGGAGATATCGTGACATATGCAATTTTCCATTTAACATGAGAAATCCCATAGACAATTACAGAGATTCATAAAACCGGAAGTACTTGTCATATGCATAGCAAACTTGAAAACTAGAGAGTATGTAAGCCTGCCAACAGATGTGCAAAGGAAGATAACTCTTACTTCACTATTTTTGAAATAAATAAAAATTACAATAAACTGTTTCCATTAAGAAAGAGGATTTTCTATTCGTGTCCTCTTTTTTTAATTCAAAATGAAAAATGAAGACAATGCAATTTCAGAAATCGACAATTTTTTTTTATTCATTTTCGTTATTGAATAAGTTAAGAATTGGTGTGGTCACCAATATTTATGTTAAAACAGATCAATAATGTATCGGTATTCCATATTCACAGTCAAAGGATTGGTGAATCCACCAATTTGAATTATCAAATATCTTCAAATAAAGATTGATCTTGGTGGTTCCACCAAGAAAACAAGAGTGAATTTGACCATACATAATTCTACAATTCATTAAAAGAATTGGTGAACTTACCAACAAAACAACTGAAATATCTTCAAGAAAACTTGGTGATTCTACCAAAAATACAAAATAGACAATTCAGCTCAAATTTATAAAAGCAATCTGGTGAAATTCTCAATTACTTTTGATAATGATGATACTTTAAAAACGACGTTGGTGAATCACCACAAGTGTTAAGACACTGAAACAACCCATTGAGAGAAACTGAGTGAAATTGTCCCTAATACAGAGTCGGTGGACTCACCAAAATGCAAAAAATCAACTAACAAGACATTCTCAATTTTACTCACAAATACTTGGTGGATCCACCAAAAATACAAACAGGAATACACAAGAATACTTGAATGATATACTGTCAACATTACGCGTGTAATTATCTATAGTGGGTAGTTTGGTGGATCCACCAAAAGCTAAAAATCAAAAGGCATTCATAATTTTCCTTTACAATTACCTAGTGACACTTCCTTAATACATTTATGTACACAAGGACAAAAAGCTGGTGAATCCACCAGAAAAGTCAAAAATCTACATGTAACCCAAAGTTCAACTAAATTGTCCTTAAATACAGAGAGGAGTTTGGCGGACTCACCAAACTGTAAAAAAATCAAATAGCAAGGCATTCTCGATTTCACTTACAAATACTTGGTGGATCCACCAAAATGCAAATAGGAATACTCAAGAATACTTAAATGATATATTGTCAACATTGCCTGTGTATTTATTAAAAGTGGGGAGTTTGGTGGATCCACCAAAAGCATTAAAATCAAAAAGCATTCGTAGTTTTCCTTTACAATGACTAAGTTCGTTTCTATACACAAGGACAGAAAGCTGGTGGATTCACCAGAAAAGTCGAAAATTTACATCTTACCCCCTCTTTATGTTGATAGGTTCGCAATTCAACAATAATTGGTACTATCAACATGTGATCAAAATAAGTATTAAATACAATGTCAAAAAAGTGTATACAATTTCAAAAACAAATGTGCTTCCTCCAATAAGGCACAGTAGTTATAAACAATATATAAAAATAACCCTCCATGTACTGTTTTATCTGCACCCCAATACACAGCTGAATGAAACACTTCTTTTAACTCATTTTTTCAAACGAAAAAATACTTTTCTTTGTTTCTTTAACGTCCCTTTGTAATCGGAGAATTTTTCCTTGCCTGCACCTAGTCTGCATGTCCTGCAGTGGGTGGGAAACCACGACGTAAGGATTAACACTTAACTGAGTGACTCTCGAGCAAACGCTCTAATACTTTGACATAGGAGCCCCAAAAATTATCTTGAGCTAAACATTTCAATTCATACACTCCCCTGATGAAATCTTTGGGTGAAGCAATCAAAATACATTAACTTAGTATTCTCATATACAGATATAGAGAACATTAGGAATTCATACTGTATATGTAAAAGGGAACAAGGAGCTGAGATGATCATCACCCTTTAAATAATGAACACAGCACACACTTTAAGAATAAAAAAAAATAGATCATGTATTAGTCTTCTATAGATTATGTAGTCATTCCAAATAGAATTAAAATGATACAAGTCTAACACAATCACAATATGCAAGAGTCGATATTATGCATTTTTTACTCCTAAGATTGATGGAAATATATTTGTATTCCTTTTCACAACTTTGACATGCTTTGAGAGAGTCAAGGTCCAAATTACTGACTGTTCCAAATTCTGTTTGTAAGGTGGGTTTCCTAGCTCCAGCTCGTGGGTAACATTGTGGTAAAATCCTAGTGGTTGGGCCTTGATCTGTATCATTTGACATCTGATATGAAATTTCACTTACACGTTTTAGCAATCCTTCCACTATGAACAGTTGAGTAATTCTCCCTGATGTTTCTTGAATAAAAGAACCACTATTGTTTATATATCCAATTTACTTTAAAAGCGTCATCAGAATATTATACCGATGATTTCTTGTTTAATACTTTTCTGTGGTCTCTATATAAACGTATCCTTTACACATCTATGTGTCTTCTGTTTTTACTCCTCAGACATCTTGGTGGTTACGGACCTTCTGGGTTGTTTACCTCCATCTTATACCCTGTGATAGAAGTACATGTACAAAGTCTATGAATGGTGCACAAAATTTAAATGACTCTTATTTTCTGTTTTATATATAAATATATATTTATATATATATATATATATATATATATATATATATATATATATATATATATATATATATATATATATATATATATATATATATATATATATATATATATATATATTCTATAGAATCTTAAATCTAAACAAGTAAACAGAATTTAAAATAGAGGCCGATAGGCCATATCGCTAAATCGGTTAATTATTGAAGAGTTTAAATTAAAAAAAGTCCCGACATTTAATCTCCATTGCATTGCCCTACCCCCAGATGCATTGAACACATTTGTGATCGTACTTTGTTTTTTCACAATACATGAAATTGAAAGGTTGCCATTCTTATTCCCTACAGCCCCAGTTAAACAAATAAATACTAGTATATCCTATTTCAAAAGCGTTTTTCTTAAAAAGAGCGGGCTAATCTTTGAAAACGTTTTTCTCACAATAGAACCCGAAAATATTCGTGCTTGATATTATAATAAATATAAAATAATAATAAATAACAATAATAATAAAAACATATACAGACATTTCTATCGGAAATGAGGATTGTTTTAATCATTTTATAAGTGTTTTTGTCACATGTATCAATGCGTTAATTCAAAAAATTATATAGAATGTGTTGTTATGATTCAAAAGTATTCAAATATATAATTTTAAAAAATCAAATGAGCAAAGTAAAGGACGCACGTCGTACTAACATGACAATTGTGTGTACCAACACTAGTAGAGGGAGCACACAAGTAAAAAAAGAAAAGTACATGTAGACCTTCATCAAATATAAACCCATTTCGTTTACAAAAATTTCACTAGTTCCATTTATTTATCTTGATATTTTTTAAAATGTTCTTCACTTCTTTATCAACAAAATATCCAACAAGATAGAAACACATTCTTCATATTACGTTTCTAACTTTCCAAATAAATGCGACTTACCATTATAACACCAACAAATTCTTCTTTGATTCTTCCAAATGCCTTCATCTTTTTAAACATGTTAAATGAGTCCTTTTCATCTGCATGCATTAATGATCCAATGTATACAGTAACTCTGCCATCATTCAGGTAGTTGTCATTGAGTGTTTTTAGTATATTCCATTCAAAAAGCTTAGATATAAACTTGATCTTCCATGTCTACTATAAACAATGCCATGCGCAGCCTTACTTCCTGTTACATGCGTAATTCCAACTCTCATTCGATTCAAATTATGATGTTGTAACACGTGCGGGCTCTGATGGTCAACAGAGATTGCTATTAGTTTCATCCCCCTTTCTCCAGTATAAAAACTTTTTTTGGAACATGTAAATAACTTAACTCTTACAATCACTCAATATCTCTCTCATTCTCACTCTCTCTCAAAAAAAATTTCTTTTTCTATAACTTTTGTACATTTATATTATGTTCTATAAGGTGTATATGTAAGAATAAAAAATGTTACAAATGATATTTTTTATTTGAAAAATATTAGTATATCTTTTTACTTATCTATTAATTGGATATTTAAGATAACTTTGGGAGAAAAAAAATCTTCAACAAACTTTCCGGTCAACTGTTACAGTAACTTAGTGTGAAAGATAAACATGAAGAAAACAAGCGAATTAGCAGCTGTAAGACATTTTCATACCACTCTTATAATATAAACAGGAAATCAGATTGGATCAAAGTTGCTAAAAGTTAGATGCGAGTCTTGTTTATTTCATGGTGCATTTTTCACATAACACAATATTTGAGGTCTTATTATAGAAATTTGAACAATAAAGGCGGTTTGTACATTTACCGCTTAGATTGATTGTTTATTTTTTAACGCCGAGTGGGCAATATTTCAGCCATGTTTCGGCGGATTTACTGCTTAGATAAAACCTTTTTTCTGCTTAGATAAAACCTTTTTGCGTCTCACACGGGGAGGGGGTAGAAGCAAATAAACTTGAACAAAATAGCTAAAAGAGCCATAGCTGCCTTACCGACGACACGGCCGACTCAAGCATTTAAAAGGAAATCACCTGTTTCTATTTATAGATAAATGTACTTTTTCAATTCAAGACATACATGTTTGTAATCATTTATAAAACATAATAAAGAAAAGCATAGAAAAGATGCACGAAGAAAAAAAAAATCAAAACACATAAATAGAAAAAAATGTGGGGCTCGAACTTGCAATCACCATTTTTACATTCCAGCAATCATATCACTGCGCCACGAAGTCATTGATGTCGTATGGATAAATTCAGGACCTCTTGATCCCCCTCTCCCTCCGATTTAGGGGAAACAAACTTATCCACCTTATACTATATTATACATTGCGTTAAGTGTGGTATTTGAATATTGAATTTTAACTTTTTTCCAATCCATCTTCAAAAATATATAATACGCTTTCGCATTCAAAAAGATATTCCCTGCTTCAACACCCTTAACGTTATATTAACTGATCCCTAAACAAAATCAGTCTATTTTCTAAACAATGTTCCATCCACTGATTTTTGGTGTGAGTGTAGTAAATGAACTTGTAAGTATCAAGTATTCATTATCACAAAAAATAGTCATATGTATTGCGAGGAGCAAGAAGTTGGAACTGCTATAAACTGATGTGGATCTTGTATTTCCTTATTCTCGCTAATTAATGTAAAGTAAACTGGGTTGACTTGGATAAATAGCTAATTAAGCTAGGCTGCCTGTAAGAATAATAAGAATAAAATGTATTTCTAATGTCTTTCAAATCACATCTTAAATGGTTTTAAATGAGATATTCAATTCTAAGTCTAATGATATCATAAACACACAATCCGTAGTTGTATTGATCAGGATTTATTAACATAAGCTTCATAATGATTATTACAAAGCAGGGGGCTTACGCAAGCACGCCAGGTCATTGCATTAACTCCTTGAGTCTTTGCATTTGAAGAGCTAATAATGATCACATTTAGGATGTTCTGGAATGACGTACAAAAAATCATTTAATTTGTCATATTGGTGATCTAACTTTATGTTTTTATAATCGTACAGCAAAAGAAAACACACTTATTGTGATAAATTTCCATTCATCAAGCAAAATAAAGTATACTTATAGAATCCGCCAAAGCTTTAGTACATGCATCAGGGATCGACTTATCTTGATTCCGAAGAGGATACATGCTTTTGTGTTTCTCATTCTGAAATGTTGGTTTTAAATGGTTTTAAAATGTAACATAATAACTTTATAAAAAGTAAAATATAACATAAAACACTCCAAAAAATATATTATTAGTGAATACACAATAATGTACAGATACTTTGGAGTGTGTAAAGAAATTTCTTTGAGTTAGGTAACACGCATTTGGTTCTAATTTGTCCGCACATCGGCAACCAGTGAACTCTCCTGTTGGTGAAAAAGACCTAATGACAGCGATAGGATATGGTCTCACAGAAATTATTCTTACAGGTGGTTTAATGCTCCTAGCTTGAAGCTGGCATCAGCACTGGAAAAGTCTGCACATTCATTTTATTTCCACTCCGACTACATAATTATATAATACAAGCTGTTAATTTCGTCTAAATGACCAATGTGTTAATTAATCGATGGGCGCAACGCATTCCTCGCTTAGACGGAGCATAACATTTTTAAAAAAAGTAATGTATTTGTGTGTTTATAAATGAGATTTTTCACTATTGTGCTTTTCTTTAATTACACCTCCTAGAAACTTAAAAATCAAACTGTGAATCTTAAATATTTATTTTTTTTTTCTTAAAATTTCAAGCGTTACCCTAGCTTGGGGTGAAACTGCATTCAACAGAAAAAAGCAAAATAGAATATTATATATATATATATATATATATATATATATATAGAGAGAGAGAGAGAGAGAGAGAGAGAGAGAGATAGATAGATAGATAGATATTGTGGTTGTAATGGTTGTAACGCTGTATTTGATTGGATAAAACATTTACTTTATATCGTATAAAATGGGTTGCCTACATGTACGTCACAATGACTTGCATCAAAAACGTATCGATCCTCCTGACGTTACATTCAAATTTTGTACAAATTGAAGTCATTTTTTAAGGACAATCAACTATTTTTCTTACACTAAATGAATGAAAATTAAATTATGAGGAATGAATTCAATAGGTACCCAACTTATACGGTATAAACTGGGTTGGAACAGTTAACGCTTTTTTTATGAACCACTTCGCGGTTTTTAAAGCGTAAACTGTCCCAAACCACTTTATGCATGTACCATATAAAATGGGTAACTCCTTAAATATATTTAATTTCGATATTGATTTTTAACTCGTTTCCTCTTTTTCAAAATATTCCAAAAAAAAAAAAAAACTTACAAAGATATGTTCCAAAGAATTAAATTATTAAATACAATGTAATATGCCTTTTAATTTACTTCTTTCCTCGATTTTTATAGCTTATTTATGTTGAAAAGATCTAGTGCATCAAAAGTCGTATATTCGGGAAAAAAGTTTATCGGGCAATGACAATAAATTGCAAAAACGACAAATAGCAGCATCCAAAACATAAATTAGTCGATATGCAGGTTCAAATTGGCAGACTTTTTAAGCAGCCAATGAAGCTTGACATTTTGACCCAGTAAAGTTTTCATTTTTGCTAAAGGTAGAGAGTGCACGTATTTAATGCGTGGCACGTCAATGTGCATCAATCTGCATCGTTCCGGTAACTTGTGAAACAGAGAATTTCGGTTTTGTCAATGAAAAGTAAATTTGTTCAACATGGTCTAGTTCGTTAAAAAAAACCACTTTACTACATTCTGCGCGGTTATGGTCACTTTGAATTCACTGACCACCCAATGCGCACAGACGACGATACATGACCGATAGTTTGTGTAAATTGTAAGATTGTATGATTAGATCACCAGCGTCGTGGAGTTTCTCCCACGCACGAATGAGTGAGTGTTACTTTCATCGTAACTGAATCCAAGCAGT